AATGTCTCATCTTTGTCATACTTCCAATACATAGCCTGCAGCCTTTTTCTAGTCTGCAGCTGGCAAATTGGCAAAGGCTTCTTTCCTCTTCTTTCCTTTTCTTCCATTTTTTCCCTCCTTGGCGGCTTGCTCTGCATGCCTTTTATATTGACCACAAGTTCATCTGGTAGATGGAATAACAATGAGCAAAATTTATAAAAATATTAACAAGAAAAGCATGCTTCTCTTTTAAATAATAATAACTTAAACTTAGATCATTGAATCATAAATATGCGGATTAACTATTTTACGACCAAAAAATTGTCGACTGGATCGATCCCTCTGCCCTCAATCTGAGGTCTTAGTTTTGAATCCTTTTTAATGGACTTTATGCAACGAATCCGAATTAATCCTTCCAGTTTTTTGGGCTTTTTAAGCTTGTTTTAGCTTAAAAGACGGTGAATGAGAAATGCAGGGAAAATGAAATATTTGAGTTTCCTTCCTTGACAAAGAGATATTGTCGCATATTGGAGGACGAAAAGATTTTTGATGGGTATATATACAATTGTTCTTCTTCTAACTCTTAAAAAGTTAAGAAGAAGGCAAGTCTCGCGCCGTCGTTATCGCTCGGCTTCGGCTTCGGTCAATTGATTGATTAATTTTTTGGACCAAATTTATTTGTTAATATTAAAGATTAACGTATTATTATTTAATCAAAATTATCCGTTTTTGTAAAGGAAAATTAATTTTCTTCCACGTTTTGAATTCCCCTTTTAATTTGCGTAAATAGCCATTTACGTTATGGCTGTTTTACGTGAACAGTCATAACTGACCTTGTGAAGAGTTGTAACTCTTCGTTTGAACTCAACATGTTGGCTATAAATAGCAAGTCATTCTCTCATATTTTTCATACGAAATTTCTGAATTCCCCTCTTCCTTTCTGCATTGTTTTAACTACAAAGAAAGCAACAGTAAGTGTGTTTTGCTATCGATCATTGTGTTCGCTGAAACACTAGGGTTTGAAGTACCGCTACACCAGTACGTAATACCGTTCTATCCTGGGAGGAAATAATCCACAACCTCGGATATTGGGAGGGGATTAAGTTCCTTAAGGAAACACTGTGAATTCAGTGAACTCGGATTAAACTCTGTTTCTTCTATATTTCTGTTTATACCTTATTATTTCTTCTCAGAATTATTTACAAATACAATATACTAACAAGTAGTGTATTTGGTGCTTAGTTTTGAATTTAAAAAAAAAAAGGCAATTTGGACGATAACAGAGTATAATTATTGGTAAAAATTAATGTTTTTTTATGTTTGATATTTCTATCAAGATTTCATTCCATTCTATTTTCCTTTCAATGAGCTCTCACTTGATGATGAAGGTTGAGTGGCACTAAGCTATCCCCGAAAGCAAGAGAAATCAATTGAGAGAAATTATCAAACGGAGAACAGAAAACTTCTCAAATTATGAGTTAGATATTATTCCCTCCATTTCAGTTTACGTGAACTTTCAATTTTTGAGAGTTAATTTAATTAATCTTTGAAATTAAATTAGATTAGATTAACTTAATATTTTAAAGTTAAAATTTAAATATTCAAAATTTACAAAAAAAAAAATACGTTTCAGCAAGTTAGTCAAAATTGATGTAGTTTGAATTTCAAAAAACATAAAGTGTCATATTAGCATCTATATTTAGGTCCACAGCATTGTGAAGGAACCTTGTTAGGTGGCATTTGTTTCTATTTATTTATCACCTCACATTATTTTACAAGTAAAACTGATGACCACCCTTATCTATCAGGGCCCTTTAATTTGTACCATTCCATTCTCTTCTAACAAAAAACATGAGAAACTGTGAACAGAAATGGACCCAACATTCAGATGTTACAGACCCCCTATCATTGCCCACATCACTTTGACCAATTTTTAACTTTTTGAATTTCTACCCCCTACTCTTATAGAAGAGAGGGGTATAGGTCTATAACTCTACTTTGTTTCATTTTCTCTTGTACTGAGTTTCCTACACTCCAATATATAGAGTTTTCTTTTCACTGAAATGGAAGCCTATGTTATAGTATCCTATGGTCTACTAATGTTTGTTATAAGTGATGGGACAGTAGAAGCATCAAATAGGCCTTAAATCCTCCAAACATGTTGCTCCTCCGAAATTTGCTAACATCTATTTTAGTCTTCTACATTAAAAAAAAAATATCAATTTTACATACTCTCTGCATTTCAAAAAAAATGAAATTATTTCCTTTTTAATCAATTTCTACAAAAAATAAATCCTTTCTAAATTTGAGAACTATTTAACTTTAAAATTCTCCTTTCACCCCTTAATGAGATGATTTATAGTCACACAAATAGCTATGAATTGCTTAGATCACAAGTTTTAAATCTTCTTTTTTTTTCTTAAACTTCGTGCCAAATTGAAACAAAGGGATAGTTAGAAAAAGGGATGAAATTTTGAAGTTTATGGCTGGATTTTGATTGTTGAGGTGTTCTCAAAGAAAATATCTAGCTAGGTTTTTTTAATTGCCAGCTCAATCCATGTGACATATTTTGGCCAACTACCCCCTGAAAAATTCTATTAATATATGCAGTTTAAGGCATTTAAGTATTATCTATGTTAGAACATAGTATTTCGTTAGGTAAGTGTTACAGTACAGTTAACCGAATAATTTTCTCCATCAAAATTTAAAGTAGTTTTGCCGCTGTTAAAGATTTACATACAAGTTATGCCTATCATTGTATGCTACTCCTATTATTTCATCATTGCTTAAAGCAGGAAGCAAGGACTGTTCCTAGCCATATTTACTGTAGTAGTCACTCCTACAGTTATATCTGACTCAAATAACACACAATCGAGAGACCAATTTGGAAATAAGGAAAGAAAATTTTGGTCAGAATAAAAGAAGACAAGTCGCTGCAAAATTCAATATGGTAAAAACTCTTAACGTTTAAGATTCGAGACATTTGTTTATTACTACTTTTTATATGATTTTTTATAATATTCAAAAAGTTATAAACAATGTTGAAGAAACTACACATATTGGTGAAATTTTAGTTATAAACAATTACACTTTGAAAGTAAAACAAGTTGTTCAATAATTCATCATTATAGAATCTTCAAAAGCTGAAGGAAGAAAAACTGAAGAAGAGACAGATCTTGGTAATTATTTCATATCTACCTTACATTTCCAATGAATGAATAACCCAACCAGAGGAACGAGAAAGTTTCAACTTTTTAACATGTAAAAGAGAAAGTTACAATATCAACTCAACTCACCTATATATA